AAAAAAAAAAAAAACAAGGGCGAAAAAAAAGAAAGACACTCGCCGTTGAGAAACAAACTGAAGGAGTCGTCGTGGAACTCCACGGACAACCGAAAAGTGGCACTACTTGGTTGGAAGTAATCACCGATGACATCGTTACGGCCGGCGGCGGCAAAATAAAAAGCTCGCGGAGAGCAGATTATGGGGATGAATTGATTGGACCCATTGCCAAGCATGCACTGCCGGGCCACGAAGGTGCGGCGAAGGAGGTTCATATCGACATAAAAGCAGGTTATGAAGCGTTCTTGAAACGTTGCGTCGATGACGGCATCAAGATTTGGTCCGAGGCCTGCGTGCCGCCCGCGTACCTCGGGCCGCTCCCGGACAACACGCGCTACGTGCTCATCCTGCGGGACCCGCGCGCCGTTGTCGTCAGCTGGGCTCATTACAAAAACAAAGGACTCGTGAAAGGGAACGTCACCGAGAGCTACGTCACTAAAACGGTGCCGCAGTGCGCCGCGATCGTGTCGCTCCGCTACTACTGGCACGACGAGTTGCTCCGGCGGACGAACCCGAGCCTGATTCTGTTCTACGAGGATCTCGTCGCGAACCCCGTCGACGAGTACTACCGGCTCGCGTCGTTCCTCGACGTCAACCTCGAGCCCGACGTCATGTTCGGCGTCGTCGACCAGACGTCGGCCGCGTCCATGAGGAAGGACGAGGAGCACCACCTGCTCCCGGGCCCGAACAGAGCCTCATCGGACAAAGCGAAGGTGCGGTCCGCGACGCCCGACGCGTTCCGCGAGGAACTTTCGGCCCGAGCCTGGGCCAATATTACGGCGGCGATGGCGCCGCTCCTCCACCCGGCGCTGCGGATGAAGTGGCTCTACAACGACCTCGATGTGAAGTTCCTGGGGCTCAAGGAGCACCAACGACGCCACTAGGACGCCGGCCGCTGCCTCCCCTTCGACGACGCGTTCGACGCGGCGCTCCCCGCGCGGTCGCTCCGCGTCGAGCTCGGCCATGTTACTAAGTCATTGTTACCGTAAAAACTTTGCCGCTCCAGAGGCGAGTTGGTCGATTTTGACTTTGCCGGTGATTCGCCGCCGGCGAGTTTGCCGGCGCGCCGGTTTTCCGGCGGCCGAGGCCGCCCCGGCGTCCGGCGTACGACGCGGCGCGCGGTCAGCGCGGAAACTACTGGAATGAGCGCTGCTTCATTGGCCTGGATACTACGGCGCTTCGCCGTTCCTTCTTGCAGACGGCTGGTTTGTATTGGGGGCGTAGGCCCCCGAGCGCGGCGCGCGACGACGGCTCCGCCTGCGGGCGCGGGCCTGAGCCGGGAGTCGAAAAGGTGTGGCTGGACACAAGGCCGGTTTCGAGGCGAGACTCGCGAACGCACTCATCATCTGCTCTCCTACGCGCGCTCCTGCTTCACACGCCCCCATCCTCACAGCGCCGCCCCGCGTCCCGTCATGGTGTCCCCTAACCCCCTCTCCTCGAACGTCGTGCGAAAAATTGAGCGCTCGCGACGGGTTTCGTCTTAAAACGGGCGACCCCGGGCGGCGGGCGAGTCAAACGGCTCCGCTACGTCTTCGAGTCCTCGGTGCACGCCGAGCGCATCCATGCCCGGCCTCCCACCTCGCGGCCCGCCGGCGGCGTGGTCCGCGGCGGGTACCCGGAGCGTGGCGCCGTCGATGGCGGCCTCCGGGTCCAAGGGGCCGAACGCGCCGGCTCCCGGCCGTCGGCGGACGTGCCTAACGGTCTTCACCCCCTGATTCGCGCGCCTCGTCCGTCGATCGTCGCCGCGGAACCGCGTCGATGCCCCCGCAGGCACGATAAAGATTCAACCATGCACGTCATCGTCCGCGTGCTCTTGCTGGCGCTCGCCCTCGGCACCGCGGCGCAAGGAAACAAAGACAATCCTGGAGGATATGTCGTGGAACTCCACGGACAACCGAAAAGTGGCACTACTTGGTTGGAAGTAATCACCGATGACATCGTTACGGCCGGCGGCGGCAAAATAGAAAGCTCGCGGAGAGCAGATTATGGGGATGAATTGATTGGACCCATTGGTAAGCATTCAATGCCGGGCGCCAAAGGTGTGGCGAAGGAGGTTGGTGTCGACATAAAATCAAGTTATGAAGCGTTCTTGAAACGTTGCGTCGATGACGGCATCAAGATTTGGTCCGAGGCCTGCGTGCCGCCCGCGTACCTCGGGCCGCTCCCGGACAACACGCGCTACGTGCTCATCCTGCGGGACCCGCGCGCCGTTGTCGTCAGCTGGGCTCATTACAAAAACAAAGGACTTGTGAAAGGGAAAGCCTCCGAGGACTACGTCACTAAAACGGTGCCGCAGGTCGCCGCGGTCACGTCGGTCCGCTACTACTGGCACGACGAGTTGCTCCGGCGGACGCACCCGAGCCTGATTCTGTTCTACGAGGATCTCGTCGCAAACCCCGTCGACGAGTACTACCGGCTCGCGTCGTTCCTCGACGTCAACCTCGAGCCCGACGTCATGTTCGGCGTCGTCGACCAGACGTCGGCCGCGTCCATGAGGAAGGACGAGAAGCACAACCTGCTCCCGGGCCCGAACAGAGCCAACTCGGACAGAGCGAAGGTGCGGTCCGCGACGCCCGACGCGTTCCGCGAGGAACTTTCGGCCCGAGCCTGGGCCAACGTGACGGCGGCGATGGCGCCGCTCCTCCACCCGGCGCTGCGGATGAAGTGGCTCTACAACGACCTCGATGTGAAGTTCCTGGGGCTCAAGGAGCACCAACGACGCCACTAGGACGCCGGCCGCTGCCTCCCCTTCGACGACGCGTTCGACGCGGCGCTCCCCGCGCGGTCGCTCCGCGTCGAGCTCGGCCATGTTACTAAGTCATTGTTACCGTAAAAACTTTGCCGCTCCAGAGGCGAGTTGGTCGATTTTGACTTGCCGGTGATTCGCCGCCGGCGAGTTG